GATACAGGTCGCCACCTGGCTACGTTTACACGTCGGCCGGGGTCGAGCCTGTACACACTGACCACTGCTTCTCCTCCAGGTACTGCGTCTGGTAGGGCCCCTTCGTCTGGTCAGGTGTTTGCTGCGGCGTCCAGGTCTGGTCCTGAGTCTGCCCCTTGTTCGTGTCGTCGTCTGTCTCACGAGACCCTCCTCTGGCACCACCGCCTTGGCCACCCCTCTCTGCTTCGGCTCAGAGGCATGGCCTCGCGGGTCCTTGTGTCTGGTCTTCCCCGGTCCCTCCCTCCCCTTCCTCCGGGCCCTGGCCCTGCCTGTGTCCCCTGTGTCGAGGGGCGCCAGCGTGCTGCCCCTCACTCCTCCCAGTTTCCTCCGACAGAGGCCCCGTTGCAGACGCTTCACATGGACGTGTGGGGCCCAGCCCGCGTCCGTGGACAGGGTCAGGAGCGCTACTTCCTGCTAGTGGTTGACGACTACTCGCGTTACACCACAGTCTTCCCCTTGCGCAGCAAGGGTGAGGTCACTCAGGTGTTGATCGACTGGATCCGCGCAGCTCGTCTTCAGCTTCGGAGAAGCTTTGGCTCTGACTTCCCTGTCTTGCGTCTGCACTCGGACAGAGGCGGAGAGTTCTCCTCGGCCCTCCTGAGTACCTACTGTCGTGTGCGAGGCATCCGTCAGACCTTCACGCTTCCGGACTCACCACAGCAGAATGGGATCGCTGAGCGCCGCATTGGCATGGTCATGGACGTCGCTCGTACGTCCATGATGCATGCGGCTGCTCCCCATTTTCTGTGGCCGTTTGCGGTCAGGTACGCTGCGCACCAGATCAACCTCCACCCCAGGGTCTCTCGACCGGAGACCTCCCCAGCTCTGTTGTGGACGGGGAAGGTTGGCGATGCGTCGGCGTTCCGGGTCTGGGGATCTCGGGCGTTTGTTCGCGACCTGTCTGCGGACAAGCTGTCCCCTCGTGCTTCTCCCTGCGTCTTCCTCGGGTTCCCCCCCGACGCCCCTGGGTGGCAGTTTTACCACCCCACCTCTCGACGTGTTCTGTCCTCCCAGGACGTCACGTTCGACGAGTCGGTACCCTACTACCGCCTCTTCCCCTACCGCACTCCGTCCCTCCCCCCACCCCCCCTCTTCTTGGTACCAGGTCCCCCCCCAGTAGTCCCCCTCCCCCCTCAGGGTCCTGCCCCCTCAGGTGTGTCTCAGGTAGACGCGGTCGAGCCTGTCGAGGTCACTGGTGACTCCGGTGCTGCTGCGGGAGCTGAGCCTGGGGGTGCGGAGTCTAGGGGTGCTGAGCCTGGGGGTGCGGAGTCTGGGGGTGCTGGGCCTGGGGGTGCTGAGCCTGGGGGTGCTGAGCCTGGGGGTGCTGTGCCTGGGGGTGCTGTGTCTGGGGGTACTGAGCCTGGGGGTGCTGAGCCGGGAGGTGCCGAGCCTGGAGGTGCTGTGCCTGGGGGTGCTTCGTCTCTCCGGGAGCCGCTCTCTCCACAGGAGCTGCGTGAGTGGTTTGCCCGGCGCTGGAGGCGTGCCGCTGGTGCTGGTGGTTCTTCGGCTGCGGAGGGCGCTGCTGCCACGCGACCTGGCGGTGCTCGTCCTGTGGGTGCTGGAGCTGCTGGGTCTGAGTGTTCTCCTGGAGCTGGTCCTGCTGAGGACGTTGGCGCTGAGCCTGCGGTTGGTGGTCCGACTGACGGTGCTCCTGGTGCTGCTGCTGGAGGTTCTGGAGCTTCTGGTGGTTCTGCTGGAGGTGCTGCTGGAGTGGGTGCTCCTGCCGGGGGTGCTGGTGCTGTTCCTGCTGTTTCTGGTGTCGCCGCGCGGCCTCGACCGTACTTCGTTCCGCTCCTGCAGCAGGTTCTTGGTCTTACACCTCCTCCTCCTTCCTTAGAGGGTCCGCAGCCTGTCCGGTCACAGCCACAGCTACAGCCTGCCTCCCCTTTGCCTGCTCCTTCTCCCTACGCTGGTCCGACTGGAGGTCTTACTGAGCGTCGTGAGCCTGCGTCTCGTCCTGCGTCGCCTGTTCGTACTGAGCGCGCTAGTGGTCGCGGGTCGCGTCAGCGTCCTCCTCCTGTCCCTGGCACGCACCGGATGTCACTGCGTCTGTCCACTGCTCCTCTGCGTGCCCCTTTGCCTTCTCCTCCTGCTTCCTCTCTTCCTGCTCTTGCCGACCCGGAGTCGGACTCTCTTCGTGCTGCCAGTCCTACTGTCACGCGTCTCCTTGCTACTGCTGTCACTGACCCTTCCTTCGAGTCGTCTGCTGCGTCTGCCCTTGTCACTGAGCTTGTCGACTTTGCTGCGCGCTGTCGTCTAGACTACGCTGCTCGTCTTGTCGCTGAGTCTGAGTCCGCCTGTCCTCCGTCCGTCGGGGGTGAGTGTGCCCTTGGCACGGACGTCCTAGAGGACAGGCAGGAGGAGTTCCAGTGTCTAGCCGCTGCTTCACCTCGTCTCGCGTCTGTACTGCTAGCCCCTGAGGGAGACCCGGATGCACTAGACATCCCGACTCCGCGTTCTTACGCGGAGGCCGTAGAGGGTCCCTACTCCTCTCAGTGGCAGGCAGCTATGGATGCAGAGATGGCTTCCTGGAAGTCCACAGGCACCTACGTTGACGCGGTTCCCCCTCCTGGGGCGAACATCGTCAGTGGCATGTGGATCTTCAGGGTGAAGCGGCCGCCGGGCTCGCCGCCTGTCTTCAAGGCGCGTTACGTGGCTCGTGGCTTCAGTCAGCGGCAGGGAGTTGACTACTTTCAGACCTTCTCTCCCACCCCGAAGATGACCACTCTTCGGGTGCTGCTGCACATTGCCGCTCAGCGCGACTACGAGCTTCACTCTCTCGACTTCAGCACTGCGTTCCTGCAGGGTAGCCTGCACGAGGAGATCTGGCTGCGCCGTCCGCCTGGCTTCACTGGGACTTTCCCTCCTGGCACCCAGTGGAGCCTCCGGCGGCCAGTCTACGGTCTCCGCCAGGCACCGCGTGAGTGGCACGACACACTGAGGACTACGCTTGCGGCTCTTGGGTTTGCTCCTTCTACTGCTGACCCGTCGCTGTTTCTTCGCACCGACACTTCCCTGCCGCCGTTCTACATCCTCGTGTACGTCGACGACTTGGTCTTTGCCACAGCGGACACTGCTGGACTCGCCTACGTGAAGTCCGAGCTGCTGAAGAGACACACGTGCACAGACCTGGGTGAACTGCGCAGCTACCTTGGCTTGCAGATCACTCGGGACAGAGCACGCCGCACCATTACCCTGACTCAGTCACACATGGTGCAGCAGGTCCTTCAGCGCTTCGGCTTCACGTACTCCTCGCCTCAGGCCACTCCTCTGCCTACTCGCCACTCACTCTCAGCTCTGCCTTCGGATGAGTCCGTAGAGTCGAGTGGTCCGTATGCAGAGCTTGTTGGCTGCCTCATGTACCTGATGACCTGCACTCGACCTGACCTTGCATACCCTCTGAGCATCCTTGCACGCTATGTTGCTCCTGGGAGACACCGACCAGAGCACATGGCTGCAGCGAAGAGGGTATTGCGCTACCTGTGCAGTACGTCGGGCATGGGGCTAGTGCTTGGAGGGCGGAGTCCAGTGGTCCTTACTGGGCACGCAGACGCTTCTTGGGCTGACGACCAGGCTACGCAGCGGTCGTCACAGGGTTACACCTTCAGCCTTGGTTCCGGCTCTGTCTCGTGGCGGTCTACTCGCTCGTCTTCGGTTCTCGGCTCCAGTTGTGAGGCTGAGATCTACGCCGGGGCCATGGCTGCACAGGAGCTTCGCTGGCTCACCTACCTGCTGACTGACCTTGGAGAGCTGCCTCGTTCTCCTCCAGTGCTGTACGTAGACAACAAGGCCATGTTGGCCTTGTGTCGAGAGCAGCGCTTGGAGCACAGAACGAAGCACATTGCTCTCCGCTACTTCCTTGCTCGTGAGCTGCAGCAGCGTGGTCAGTTGCGACTTGCTTACGTGGCCTCTGAGGCCAACACTGCTGATGTGTTCACCAAGGCACTTGCGCCTTGCGACCATCAGCGCTTTTGTACCCAGCTGGGTCTTGTACCTGTCTTGCCTCACTTGCTCTCTTCTTGACTTTACTTGTACTTTGACATATATATACCTGCTCTTGCTTGTCTAGTTTTATATATATGTCTTTCCTCCTGCATGTGAACTGGCCTCTGGCCTTGCTCTTGTGCTCGGACTGTGTGGTGACTTTGTGATCCACCCTGAGCTTGTTTTGCTTTGCTTGACTGGTCTTGTGACCCCTTGTTCTCCCCCACTTTGCCTATGGGGGTGTGTCAGATTATTATAGCTGATGCATGTTTGTAGGCTATAGTGGGGTAGCACATATGGGGTACAGTTTGCTAGGGTTGTATTTGTACCCAACTCTGACTTAGTCAATTCATTCCTCTGCTCATAGTTTCACACAGTTATCTATCTATTCCCTGTACTCTTATATAAATCCTTGTATTTGCTTGTTTAATTCAATCAACTTTGCTCTCACACACCAGTGCAAGGTCGGTTCAAATTCTTCACTAAACGCTTCCGCTATTACAACTACTTCACCTTGAGTTATCCCTTGCAAAGATCCTAAGGGGCTATCTCAGCCCAACAGGCTTTAGGGACTGGTATAATGTACGCATAAAAGATTTTAGAAACCAATGTCCTCTTGGCTTGCTGTTTTGAGGTTTGCATTGTTTTCTTGAAGGTGGTCAACAGTAGTATGAGATTCTGGAGCTCTTTCCCCAAATTCTCTAATCCTGCATAATTCATGGCAGTGAAGCGTAGTTTCATGGACTGGCAATTTCACTTGCCAGAAGAATCTAGGTACCATCACCTTAGATGATGGCTATGCTATTGTGACTTCCCAGCCACAAGACCAAGAGTCCGTTTTCATTAGATATAATTGCAGCTTCGTCCCTGCTCCAGCCTTATTCCAGTAAAAGCTTCACAACGATGGATGGATTAGCCACAGAAAAATGGTACGATATTATTTAGATGAAAAAGGCACTGTCAAGTTCCAGCCATCATCATTCTGCTTCTTCCGATTTCCACCATTGCCATGGAAAACCCTTGGGCCCTGCTTCTGGATGCCCCTCAAAGAGAGCCACCAGCCACTCAAGGGCATCCACCACACGAGGACCTGACCGGTTGAACATCTGATTCCCATCCACCAGTACCACCTGTCCCTGCTGCACCGCCCTCAGGCCCTTCCACCAGTCGCATTGCACCACCGTTTTGAGTTCAGTCTAACAAGCAAAGAAAAAAGTAAGGAATAATGTTGGCAATTTATGGGAGGACTGGAGCTGGGGGGAACAACCTTAAGAAGGGGACATGATTGAGTGTGCACGAGGTATCAAAACCGCATGAGGTATCATGCGATTGTGGAAAAGAGGTGTCTTACCAGGGTTGTTGGAATATCAAAACCGCATGGGCACACGATGATAAAATCAGGATCCATCTTCACAACCTCCTCTGGTGGTATGCGGAAGGAGGGCCTCGCCGCACTGCGAGCCAAGCGAGGCAAGGGAATAACAAGAATCGAGAAAAAAGGGGAAACAGGGAATGAGGATGAAACTGGAAGAGATGAGGAGGGTGATGGAAGAACAAGGATCAACGTCCTTGAGGAACACGAGCGAAGACAAATGAAGAACAAAATACCAATTTGTGGCACCCGTTTCCACACCATTAGACCCACCATACAGCAATTTCTCCTTACTCCAGCAACCCCTTCCATCATTCAACCCATGCAAGCTCACCCGGTTGGTTGATCTGGAAGATTAAGAGGATGCTGCCCTCCTGCCATGTGGATAAGCTGTGGCGTCCAATGCCCCCCCATGAATATTGGCTCCGTCCATTCCATAAAAAGAACCCGTGGCCTCAACCCCCCTGCCTTCTCCACCACTGCTGCTCCTCTGGCTGTTGCTGCTGCCACACGTGCTCTCAGCTCTGCCACTGCCACCTCCGCTGATTGTTCCAGGCCTTGAAAGTTGGCGGTTACAGAATGGAGCGAACACAGGGTGTGCAGGGAGCGGGGGAGGAACAAGTATATTTACTCAGTAGGGGTTACTCATGGTGCTGCGCATCCAAACGAACTGTTTGAATTCACATTTGGCAGGAGTTGTCCTGCGGTAGGAATGCTATGCAGAGTGACTCACCAATGGAGGCGCCGATCCTCTCAATGTCACTGAGAATGTCCTCGAGGGACATGGGCGACAGACTCACCACCTCCGGGCGTGGCTCCAGCTCCCTGTGGGCACGGGGTGCGAGGAGCGATGGGAGGACAGGACAGATAAACCGGAGAGGGCTGAGGGCTGACTGCTGACGTGAGGGGAAATTAAGGGAACGTCAGGGAAGAAGGGCATTGGCGAAGGAGAGATAGACGGAGAAAGAGACGGCGAGGGAGGGCAGTGGGGGAGTAGTGGCGGCGGGGGAGAGGGGACGGACTATGGCAGAGACGGAGGTAGGGAGGGAGAGAAAGAGAGAGCGGGAGAAAGGGAGCAAGAAACAGGGACCTTCGCGCGCACTCACTTGGCTGCTGCTCGCACAGTGTCGTCACTGATCGCACACACGGTGCAGAGCCCCTGCGTTATAATCACGCTCGGCTTGACTCGCTGTAGGATGTCCCGTTTGAGCTCGTAGAGCTCCTGAGCCGACGCCACGAGGCTGTTCACCTGGTCGTCGATGTCTGCGGCGCAGAAAGTGGGACGCGGAGGATTAAGCGAGGAGCCGAATTGGAGACGGTGCCTGGGGCGAATGAGAATTGAGAGCCGTGGATGCAAAGCGCGTAATGGGTATTCGCGACGAAGGTTGCGGCGACTATTGCGGCGAACGACGTGGCGGTGGGCGAGTCACGAACACGACAAACAGACAAACGAAACAGTGTACTTGCTTGACGCAGCGTCACCAATTCACCGCTTCTAAATAATTCCATTTATAAACGCATTCGACTATAGCAGCCTCCGGCGTTCTCTTAGCGTAGCACCTTTGGAGCTGCCGAGCGTGACGCGCGCGGCAGTGACGGCCGGCAGCAGTACGAGCTCCGGCGGGAAGTCGTCGCTGTGGCTGCGCGCCACGAGCAGGTCCTTCCCGCCCACCAGACACACCGCCTCCGTCGCCGCCGGCAGCAGCGACACCACGCGGTGCGCAATTTTCACCGCCATGAAAGGAAGAGCGGACAGAAGGAAGATGTGTGAGAGTAAACAAGGCTAGGAACGAGACGCTGGGAAGGGATGGAGCGGAGCAGGATGATGGTGCAGGGAGAGGACGATGGTGGGGAGGGTGGTGGATGCAGTGAGGGAATTGCTGGTGGTGGTGGAAGTGGGCGAAGGTCAAGGGCTGGGTGCGGTTAAAACCCGTATACAGTATGATCTTCAAGTGGTTCAATCTGGTTGAAATTTCAAATACTACAGACAGATGCTTACAGCTTTCAAGTATGGATCCAAGTAAACATTCAAGTGTTTAGTAAATACCGTACAAAATGTTACAGAACAGTAGCATATCCTAGAGCATGTTGCTGCTACTCAGAAGAATATATGCCACTAAGGTTGCTGCTACGGCAAATCATCAAAGAATGTAAGGTACCTGCAGAGCACAACAAAAGTTGTTAGTATTCAGGCAGAAGATGAAAGCAGTAACCCTAGAGCAACCAGAACGACTCACCTGTCTTAGCCTGAAAGAAATGGCTGCTGAAGGGATGGCGATGGGCTGCTGAAGGAGGTGATTGGCTGCTGAGGTATATGGCGATGGCCATCCTCCCCCACCTCAGGGAGAACTGGCCAATCCTCAGAGTCGCTAGACCCAAGGCATGCGGGAGCCCGTTTAGACTGAATCTGTCAATACAGAGCTGCTGCAGTCAGCTCTCTATTGACAGACTCAGTCTGTATGGCCTGGATCCGAGTCTTTAGACAACCCCAAGGGTCCCTCAGCATCATGCCTTCTCATGCCTTCATGCCACTTGCCATGCCTCCAGGTTACCTGCAGGAGGACAAAAAAAAGTCAGTCCTCAGCCAGAGTGTGCAGGAATGCGTAAGCATTGAACTGAACTGCTAAAAGGTAAAAAAAATACCTTGATTGCTGAGCTGAGCATCTTCAGTGATGGCTGCCATAGAAGATCTTCTATGTTGAGACATCTGCAGGATGAGAGAGAACTGTTAGTAAATGTTAACATCCACACGAACTTGATGTTGGTAAATAGAACTTACCTTGGAAAGCCTTGGATCTCAAGTCCAATGAAATCTCTTGATTGATACCTGCAGGATAAAATGAAGATATTAGTCATGTGTCACAAACTTCAATACCGTATCAAAAGATTAAAACATTATAATTTTTAAACACATTGATGTTTTTCAAAATTGTGTATTGTGAAAGCGAAGCTGACTGTACCGAATATTTGGCAGCGTCGAAGCGCGCTAAACGCCCTTCTCCAACTACAAAAACCGTGGGTTGGAGTTCATTCCCTCCACCCACGTTTCTCGTTTTCCAACGGCTCAATCAACATTTCCGTTCGAGTAGTTCTTTTCCCCGTCCAAGCTGGCTAGAACTCGCACCCTTCCCAGAGGCGAGTCACCCTCAACACTTCTGCAAGACATTTTCAACCACAATCGATCTACAATGGCGTCTACGCCGGCACTTAACCGCGTCAATTCGTCTGCGCCGGTTTCCGACTCCGACCGTAACGCCCGAGAAATGACGGGCGATCGCCGTAACAAGCGGCGGGCAGAGGAAGGATCGCCCGCCCCAACTGCCGTGGACGTGCTGTTGGGCGGGCTCGAGGTCAACAAAAACTCGAGCCCGCCCCAGCAGCAGCACCCCTCGGCCCCTGTGGCGCCTGTGGCGCCTGTGGCGCCTGAGGCGCGTGTGGCGCAAGTGGCGACGGCGGCACCTGCAGCACCTGGGGTGCCACACGCGCCTGACGCGGAGCACACGCCGGCGCCTTTGGCTGGACCGTCGCGTCAGCGCCAGAGGCGCCGAACATCGACTTCTTCTGACGCGACGACCCCGGCGTTGACCAACGCGTTGACTCCGGACCAGGTCGCTGCGCTTCTGTCCCTGTTACAGCAACAACCCGCCAGCGTTACAGCTACGGAAATTGCACAACCCGCGGCGTCTGCATCTGCTAACAAGGAAAACGCAAAAAAAGAAAAAGGAGCGCGAGGAACAACGGCGAACCGGCACAACAAGGAAGCACCAGCCAGCATCCCACCTGCGCCAGCGGCCGACAACGACACCGACGGCTCCGACGACGATGATGGTGAGGCTCCGGTCCATACCGCAAATTTTCATTCCATGGAGCATCTTCCCCCCCTCCCCTCTACTACTAACACCACTTGGTCGGCGGCGACGTTCAACGACGAGCACGTGCGGGCGAAAGCGGAGATTCTGGAGGACATGCGGGCCTACCTGAAACACGCAGAGCACAAGCTGCAGCACGGCGACTCGGCGGGCGGACTCGAAATGGTCGTCGCCGCCCTCGACGACATTTCCGCGCGCTTCGACATGTTTCAAGTCGAAGACGCATCCGACGACCGCGTTGCCAAGCGCTACAAGATGTACCTGGAGAAAAGCCTTCTCACCTCGCGGCCGTTCAAGCAAGCCGTCGCGGACGTGGCTGCCATGGACCGAGCGGCGGGCGCTCACGCTCGCTCCCACCGTGGTGGAAACCACGGCGCCAAGGCGTTCGCCCCAAAACGTGGCCCTCCAACCTCGGGCAACTTCCAAGGCTTTCGTGGTTCGTGTTTCCGCTGCGGACAGCCAGGCCACGTCGCCAATGCCTGCCCTCGGAATGGGCATGGGGGCCAAGGACCCGCACCGGTTGTGTAAGGTTCGGGCTATGGTGAAGCGCGCCTCTAGGCGCGATGCACGGTGCACTTTTGAGTGCTTAGACCGTGGGCAGCCTAGTAGGGCTTGCGGTGGCCATGGCCAGCCCTAGGATAGGGTGGTAGAAGTTGGCCATAGGCCTAGCTTTGGGGAAGAGGAAGAATGCCTCTCGGTCCCCTAGGATAGGGTAATAAAGTATGGCCGTAGGTCTAGCTTTGGGGAAGAGGAAGAATGCCTCTCGGTCCCCCGTATGCCCCAATTGATGGGATGAGAAACATGCTAGTAGGCATGACAATGTATGACCATGAGAGATAGGGATTTTATTAAAGGCCCCTCTTGTTTGTCACGGATTAAAAAAAAAAAAAAAAAAAGGAGGAGAAGGGGAGAGGGAGAAAAAGAGAGTACGTACGCTCCTCACTCAAACCGCCACCATGCATGGCAAGGATGAGCAGCCCTGGTTCAACCGTTGGAAGCCCAAAAAGGGTGAGAAGGAGCAAGGGGGGGGGAGTAGGGCATAGCGATGTCGCCTAGCCCAAGTAAAGGCACGCGCGAAAAGACACGAGCTCATGACAAGCGAAGCATGCAAATGCTCAACAACAATGGAAACACATCCAAAAAGAGAGGGAGAGAGAAAGAGCGAGAGAGAGAGAGAGAGAGAGAGAGAGAGAGAGAGAGAGAGAGAGAGAGAGAGAGAGAGAGAGAGAGAGAGAGAGAGCACACGAGGGAAGCATGATCATGGTCCCAAGCATCAATCCTCCAGAAAAAAAAAAAAAAAAAAACGAGGGGAGGGAAAAGGAGAGAGTATGAGAAAGAGTTTGCCAAGGTGCGATCGGACGCCCTATATGGAATGACGACAAACCGTCCGTATGGTCCTCACTGTTGACGGTTCATTTTTCGCGCATGCATGTATATGTCACACGCATGAACTAATTAAGGCGTGCAACCTGATTGTTCGCGTTCATTTCCTTGCCGTACATACAGGAGCACAACAATACGAGGTGCCTCGCGACGATGGCCCGTACGAATTCGCCGTCACGGACAAAACCGTCACACGGATGTGCGGTCGGCTTCGCTCGACCTTTGCGTGGTGGAGCTCATGGTGCCCTTGCAGCCTCGTCCTATCCATCATCGCCAACGGTTACTGGCTTCCATGGAGCCACGGCCCACCACAGGCCTTTCGGGAGCGTAACCACGCTGGTGCATACGCGCATGCGTCGTTCACACGTACTGCCATCCAAGAACTCACAGAGACCGGAGCTGCAGTCGAGACAGCCGCAAGCGAGCTTACGTGCATAAGCCCACTTAACGTGGTCGAGCAGAAAGAAAAATGCAGGCTCATCCTCGACCTGAGAAAAGTCAACACGAACCTCATCGTCCCAAAATTCAAGTACGAAGGACTCAGCCGTGTGGCAGACGTGGCACGCGCTGGGGATTGGATGTTTTCTATTGATCTCAAATCCGGGTACCATCACATCGATATCCATCCTTCATGCTGGAAGTTTCTCGGTTTTGGATTCGATGGGCGCACTTACTCCTTTCGTTCATTGCCGTTCGGTCTTGCGACAGCCCCATTCATCTTCACGCAACTCATCAAGCAGCTAGCCCGTCGCTGGCGGGAGCAAGGCATCCGAGTAGTACCATACGTGGACGACATCTTATTCCTTTGCCAGTCAAAAGCTCACGCGCAGGCTACTTGCCACCGTGTAATACTGGACCTTAAAGCAGCAGGTTTGGTGATAAATGCGAAGAAATCACAGCTGTCACCATCGCAACACCTTCGATTCTTGGGTGTGGAGCTAGACACGGCCACAGGCCGATTTACCATCGGTCCCGAACGACGAGCCTCACTACATGCAACCATTCGGAACCTGTTGAGCGCAAGCAAGGCATGTCGACCCGTCTCAGTCCGCCAAGTGGCCAGAATCACAGGCATGCTCGCGTCAATGGGCGTCGCGCTGGGCGCAACAGCTCGTGCTTTCAGCCACGCCATGCTACAAGTGATCAATGACGCACCTTCATGGAAAAGCAGCGTGATCATCCCCCCAAACGCGGCTGAGGAGCTAAACTTCTGGCTCGAAGAGTTTGACAGGTTCAACGGTGCACCGTTTCACGTTCGAAACAGCTACGACGCTGTCATCCATGTGGATGCTAGCGCTCACAGTTGGGGCGCCACTTTGACCACATTTCCTGGCGGCCTCGAAGAAGCTAGCGCAACAATGCCAGAGCCGCTGCGAGCGACGTCCAGCACACGGAGGGAGATCGAAGGTGTGCTTTGGGCACTCCAAACATACTCCAGCAAGATCACGCACAAACATGTTCTTGTGCGGGTGGACAATCAGGGCGT